TAGAATAGAATAGAATAGAATAGAATAGAATAGAATAGAATAGAATAGAATAGAATAGAATAGAATAGAATAGACTCTGGAAGGAACTTTGGAGATCTTCTAGTCCAGTCTCCTGCTCAAGCAGGAAAACCTATACCATTTCAGATAAGTGTCCATCTAGCCTCTTCTTGAAAACCTCCAGTGATGAAGCACCTACAACTTCTGAAGGCAAGATGTTCCACCAGTTAATTGTCCTCCTCACTGTTAGGAACTTTCTCTTTAATTCCATCTTACTTCTCTCTTTGATTAGTTTCCAACCATTGTTTCTTCTCCTGCCCTCTGGTGCTTTGGAGAACAATTTGACCTCCTCTTCTTTGTGGCAGCCCCTCAAATACTGGCATACTGCTGCTATCATGTCACCTCTAATTCTTATTTTCTTTAGATTAGCTAAACCCAGATCCTGCAGCTGTTCTTCATATGTTTTAGTCTTCAGCCCTTTGATCATCTTAATTGCTCTTCTCTGAATTTTTTCCAAAGTCTCAACATCTTTTTTGTAGTATGGGGACCAAAATTGGTTGCAGTATTCCAGGTGTGGTCTTACTAGAGTTTTATAAAGTGGTACTAATACTTCACGTGATCTTGATTCTATGCCTCTGTTTATACAATCCAGGATTGTATTAGTTTTTTTAACTTCTATGTAAACAGCTGGCTCATATTCAATTGATCATCCACTAGGACTCCAAGGTCCTTCTCACAGTGACTGTTTTTGAACCAGGTCTCACCTACCCTATACCTATATCTTTGATTTTTCCTAAATGTAAAACTTTGCTTTTCTCCACATTAAAATTCATTTTGTTGGATAGAGCCCATTGTTCAAGTTTATTTGCAAAGGATTACAAAAATAAGCCAAAGGAGTAAAGAAGATATATAATATTGTTATTTAATTACTGGTGTAGGATTATATCTTAAATGTGAATATTAAAGAGTTGAATTTTGCTGCCAATGCAGGATAAAGTTAATAACCTTCATCCTATTTTGTTACATACCAGCTGTTTTTAACTCAAGTAATTTTCATAATCTTTCTGTGTTGAGCTTCTGAAATCTCTCCTCTGTGGAGATCAATATTTAGTAAATGCCTTGTGTTTACTCAGAAATAATTTCCTCTTACACTTATATTTTCTTATTAATTATGCATCTATCTTGCTGCAATCATAATAACCTATTTTGATATACAAGATTTCCTTTATAATCACTTGTCATCAAAATACTACAAATTACCATTTTCTTTATTAAAATGTCATGTACTATTAAAAAAATCATGAATTTAACTTCCAGTTTGTTTATATCTTCCTTTACTACAACACATCCACCTCTATCCAACTTTGCCATCCTATGCTGCATAGGGTGCAGCCTTTTAAAAATCTTTCTGGAAATTCTAATCCAACACCTTTAGCACAGGTTGGGGGAAGACATTTAATGATTAATGTTAATTTCATTTTTTCTGGTAAATGGAGACTTCTTAATCTCCACATAATCCAGTCTGTACCGCTGTGAAGAGAACTGGGTTGAATTCTAGGTGAAGTTTGGGAAGATCACTTATACAGCATCCATTCATACACCTCATTCCTGATTATATCTTCCCAAACAACCTTTTCAGGGCCATAATACAGATAGCTTACACTGCTGCCATCAGTAAAGCAAATTTATGCTGTAAATGAAGATTCAAATCAGAAATCAGAAGATGCTACGTAAAACAAAACAGACAAACTCGCTTAAGTGGTGTATCCAGTTCAAAATTATCTTGGAAAAATCACAGAAGAGGTAATGGATGAGGTGATTTTCCTTTGTTGAAGCTGTATTTCTAAGCTTCGGTGACAGAAGCACAGTGTATTTCTGTGTACTTGTATTTTAGGCAGCTTATGGAATTAATGTTTCTTAATGAGGATTATAAAGTAAGAGCAGTCTCACTGAAGTCTATAAAAGCATTAACGCAGTGTGAGTCTAATTAGATAGCTACAAAAACAAAAAAAACCCACCTGAGAGCAATTATAGCAGGTCAGTCTGCTGTAGTTAAATGAAACAGGTTGAGTTTTCTGTTTATCAAATCCTAAACCCATATGTAATTCACTTATGCTGAATACCACTTAATAACAAAGAAAAATCTATAGGTTGCAATCCAACATTAGAATTAAAGTTGTTTTTCTACATTATTTAGGAATCAGCCCCACCGAATTCAGTGGACTTACTTCTAAATTGAGCTTTATCAGGTTATGATGCTAGCTTGTAGCTTTCTTTGGGGCCTAAAAGTAGCATAGCTATATTTTATTTGGGATATGCAGGCAAATTTTCAATAATTCACAAGTTAAGTTTGCTGGAATCCTATCTAGTAAAGAAGAATATTGCCTACTTTCCTTAAATATGTTTCTCCCTAGTTTTTGGGGTGCAGTTTCTGCTCTTTAGCACATAGAAATCAATCCTCGTACTGCTAGCTTGCCATTTCTTGAGCTATCCCTTGCATTTTTATCAAGAAGTTCCATTTTATGCTCAATATTTCAGCTTGTATTATGTTCTAATATCTAAGTCAACTTTTCACACACACACACACACACACACACACGAATGCTTAAATTGGTAGATCATAAAAGTTCAACTCCAATTAAAAACAGATTTCATGTCAAACTAAATTAGTTGTTCATTATTGGAAAGCAATAGACATGCATATTTTTACTATACAAATAATAAGTGGAGATGGAAAAAATGAGCTAAGCATCTATTAGAGTTGAGGCACAGGAGGAAAAGTGGTAAAGTTCTCTTCCCTGCTATGTTCTTGACCAGAAACCTCTTTCAGAAGTTAATAGCTAAAGAGAAGCCCCAAAAGTGCTTTTTCAAGATGCAACTGAACTTTCTGGTTTTTCCTTAAAGACGTTTCACTTCTCATCCAAGAAGCTTCTTCAGCTCTGTGAAGTTCAGTTGCCTCTTGAAAAGGCAACTTTGGGACAACCATGACCTGGATGACTGAGAATCTCCATAAACATATACTGAAGAGAACAGTCCACCACTACCACTAGGAAACCTTTTTGAAACACAAAACAAAACAACTCCTGAGAAGTGATTTTTTGGGGGGAGGGAGCCTTCTCCTTTAGCTTCCATTAATCTTCAGATCGATCAGGTTTCCCACAGCTGTATTTTACATATGCACAACTGGATGGTTGCATAAATACACATCCATTAAATGGTTCCCTTTGCAATAAGGGAATAGCACACAAGAACTGGTGGGTGGCTTGTGGTGGCAATGGGCCAAGCAAAGAGTACAAATCTGTCCTTAGGTATCAGCGTATAGGATGAGGGGAAAAAAAACTTTACATTTTGCTGTATGTTTTTCAATGCCCTTTGGATTCATTAAAGGGAAAGATGAACACACTTTGTGGCATGGCTCTGGCCCACACACATCACTTCTGGAAGCTTAGCTCAGAGAGCTCAGAAAGAGAGCTCAGACAACTTGGAACTGAGCAACAGAGAAATGTATACTGAAGTGGGAATTCTATGTTCTGTGAATACTTTTTAATAAACCAAAACTTAAAAGTATAGCGTGTACGTCATTGACTTTCAAATTATACACATTGCCAATGCAAATCTGAGTAGCGGTTAGATATGTCATTTTGTAGCACAAGCTATTTGTCCTCAAGAGGAAATAGAGGCATTTACCTCTAAAGCTTTTGGCATGTTGAGAATATATGTATATTTGTGAGTGAGGTTAGCATTTCCAGCCTTTTAAAATTACATTTTAGCAGCTCAATATTTAACAATATGGTTTATCCTGTAATGGAAGAAGTAAGAGTCCATATTAAAGCTTAAAAGAGAAGTTTAAAACATGGATTTCTGCTGTTGTGGGCAGTGTAGGATATATAGATTGGATAGTAATGACTAAGCCTTTGATTGGTTAATTTAATACCCAGAAATTTAGACTCTGTAGTATGAGGCTTACAAAAACTAACAAAGTGTAACACCTGCAGAAGTGGCATGGAAGAATAAATCAAGATTCCTAAAAAAAACAAGAACAAAGATAGGAAACAATTATTATTTTTTTAAAAAGCATTAACCAAACTGATTTGATTGCAATAGTTGTTTCTCCTAATGTTTATCTGTGTTCCTTTCAATGTACAGTATGCAGGACCATCAGTCATGGTACATTTTAATTGGCTCGAATACATTTTACTATATTAGATTTATGGAAGAAATCATAAAGGGTATCTGGTTAAAGGTAGAATCCTGCTGTGCAACTCTGATTACATTTTAAAAAAATCTTTCCACATGTTGAAGATCAGTTTGTAACATTCCTAGGACTGAAAATCTAAATACAATTACCATAAAAATGGTTTTGCTGAAAAAAGTCACTGTGAATTTGAAAACTTTCAGGAGAAATCCAGAATAGAGCACTAATTTTAAAAGTCCCATTGGTTTAACATACGTGCATGTTAAACCAAATGCAGTACATGTAGAGAGATGATATGCATTAGCCTAATATCAAGTTTCATATCATCAAAATATAAAATACCAAAGGAAAGTCATAGATGGACTTATTTTTTAAAATCTTCAATGTACTGACTGCATGACATTTTTAAACACACCTGTAACAAGAAACAATATTTGCAAGCAGTAAATAATACTTGTGAGAGAAACATTAACAATGATTATAAACTTGTGACGATCAAAGAGAATTTATGAAAATGTATGAAAATTGATCTCTTCTTACTACCATACTTTGTACATCCAAAATATTTTTTAAATATCTTCAGATTATTTAGGATTAGATAATTAGAGCCACACTTTCTTCTAAAGCAAATTTCCAAATAGAAATATTTTATCACAGTCTAGGTTATTGATAGAAGGCTGATGTGTGTGCTGTATGATCTTGACATGTGAAACCAGCATATTCACAGAATGGGAAACTCTCGGCCCAGTAAACAACTGACATTGTTCTTATCATGGACATGTCAAGAGTCAATTGCATGATTTCTAATCAGAGGAGGAATCAATGGCACATCTTGATGCACTTTCAATTTTTCTGAAATTACTGCCACTGACCAGGATGATTATATGCCAAAAGTCCTTACAACTCAAAAGTGTTATTGATTTCCAGAAGTCAATATCAGTCTGCCTAGATATTTGGAGTGTGCCAAACAAATGAATTGACTAGATAGGCATTCCAGAGAAAGCACAAGCATTTAAATCTCTAATGCAAAGTTCTACATACGCACAGCTATCACTGATTTTGGAGATTATGGAGGGCTATAATTCCCATATGGAAGCAAAGGCTCCTATTTGTATGTTTTGTTTCTTAGCAGTGTTATCAGGTATGCCTTCCCACAGAGACACATTCATTCGTTCATCCATCCATCCATCCATTCATAGAATTTATGTAAATGCCCATTTCATCCTTGTGATTGTAGGTGGCTCATGACAAAAAACAACATACAACCCAATATAGGTTATCATAAAAATAAATTAGAAATGTGGGAAAGCCACATAAATAAATCTATCTCATTATCTAAATGCTGTACAGGGAAGGTTCTACTGACACCCTGGCTCCAATGTTTTAGGGGAAAACCAGATCTTCACATTTTCTAGAAGACTAAAAGGGAGGAGGCCACCCTGATATTGGAGGAGGAAGCTGTTCATAAGTCAGTTATATCTTAGAAAAATAAATACATTTGCAGAGATTAATAAAATAAATTGATGTATCATTTATGTAATGACAATGACAAACCTTATCTAAACCAAGATCAAACGTTTATTTTTAAGAGAATTATTCCAAAAGAAAAGAATGTGTTTAAACTTTAGCTAATCATGTTGAGGAATGAAAGGGGAATAAATTCTCATGAATCAGTAGCAAAATTTATTAAAATGAGAATATTCTTAATTTTTAAAAAATACACCTACATTTTAGTGAATCAAAAATGGCTGATACTTCTCCATACTTGTTCAACTAGGAAAAATATTGCCAAGAAATTATTGTCTTTTCTTTATTTTAAGGTATCTCATATTTTTCTTATTTCCCTCTTTTTCCACCATATCCTCATCATTTGGAATAACAGTATTTAAGTTACTTAAGTAACTGTTTTAAATTTGGGATTAGAGCCCACTCACCATTGTTTAAAATAATGTCCAAAGATGAAATTTAATATTGTTTGTGCCTGACCTTGGGTTCATAAGAAGGTCTCTTTAGGCAATTGTTATCATTTAAATGTCATTTTATCCTTATTTATTTCTGATCCTTGAATAACATAATTGGACTGAACAAAAACAAAATTGGACATAATTTAAAAAAATGAGAAGAAAAAAGGGTCCTTTCTGTGAACTGTTTCTGAAGTAATTGCATTTTGGATGAACTATTGCCAGTCTAAAACATTCAAAACATGAAGTGGAAGTGAGCTCTTCAAACTAAAATTGGTTCTAAATTATTTCAGAAATAATTATAATATATAAATTCTGAATGTGATCATCAATAATTAACAGTGGCTGAAATAGAAGACCTTTTTCATAAGTAAGTGGGCACTTTCTAATTTCTGCTGGTACAGGATAAAAGAAAATATCTGTTCCTCAGCTAAGAATCTAGCAACCTACCTTGCTCAGGGAGGATGATGGAAATTGGATATTTTGTCATTTCTTCTTCAATCTTCTGACTGGTGATTTCTTTAGATGTTGAAGGAAAGAGAATCCCCGTGGTATCCAAGACAGTAGAAGACATGGTGGAGACTGGGTAAACTACTTCACTAAAGTTTTTTGTCGCTGTTGTTACATTTGCATAAATGAAAGGCATTCCAGAAGTCTATTAAAAAGAGGAGAAAAATAGTGGCAATCTTCATTTATACTTTAATGTGGCCAAAATACAGTAAGTTTTATTTCTACTTTAATTGTATACTACAATGTTCAAAATACTCTAACAGATAAATATTAGCCCATCAGTCTGTCCATAAATATTTCTAAAGGATTGGTCACCTGATTTGCTGTTGTTATAAACCAAGGAATATAAATGTGTGAAATGTCTTGGAACTCAACCAAGAGCTTTTAGCTATGGCACAAGAAGTGATTGTTATATCACTGTTAAATCTCACATCTCATGATAGTCCACTCATCCAATCTCCAGCCAATAGCTGAGTTAGCTTAAGGTTTAGCAGCTTCCCTTTCATTGATTTCCCCCCTTTTTGTCCCAACATAATACTTCCCAAGGATACAACTGTGAAGTTTTGATTGCTAAAGCAGGAATTGGCCTAGCTACTCTTGGCTATTTTAGACTGCTGCAGATATGACCTTTCACTTGAAATTCCTAGCTGGACATCTCTACCACCATTACTCTTTTGGCAATGGAAAAATCTGACTCTTTCAAATCTTACTTCCAAAGCCCCTGTTGAATGGATTGGTTCTAAGACCCCTGTCTTCAAACTTGACAGCTTTAAGACTTGTGGACTTCAACTGCCAGAATTCCTCTTCCAGTCATGTTAGCTCAGGAATTCTGGGAATTGACATCTATAAGTCTTAAACTTGCCAAGTTTGAAGAGCCTTGTTCCAAGGTATTGGAGACCTAGCAGTCAAGGAACCATATTGTATCTCCTTCCCTTCAAATCTTGACAACTAAACCTAAGGCTGTCAGAACTTCAGATGTTGGCCTTGGTTCACCCCTTCTTCTCTTACCACACTATCACCATAGTGATGCTCTTCTGTTTTATTGTGTCCACCCTCCTCCTTTGGTAGATGTATAAATCTACCTAAATCTATTCTTCTGTCCTTCAGCTGCAGGCTCAGCCTACAGTAAAAAAAATGACTGGTGTATGTTCTTCAGCTGGTTAGTAACCTGTGATGAATGACAGACAAATTGCTGCCAATTACTTTTCTTAACTACCCTGTATTTATGTCTGTGCTGAATTGAGGATTGAAGGGATGCCAATCTTATTTACTATTAAAGTTTCGTTGCGGAAAAAAGACAATAAAAGTTACCCACCAATTCAGCTCCAGCTAGAGCATCTGTTACCATTGGCTGCATATCATTATTTATATCAGTAGATGGCCTGATGATTTCTGCAAAATGAGACAAATGAAATGGTCATTTTTTGATCAAATTTAGCTAACTATGACCTATCAAAACTGACCATAGTATGTCAATTATTATATAGGATTCTATGTTATAAACACAGCATAACAGTAAAAATGCTGTTTTGCCCCCTTGTTGTTAGTATCAGCTGAAACTCTAAGGCGATCTTCTTAAACTGGGCAACCAAAACCGTTTTAAGGCTCTAATCTGAGCTATTGGTGTCCTTGCATTTCACAATGACATCCTGGGGCTTCTGACTATCTTAGAAAACTGAACTGATTACCTGCTAATGATAAATCGATCAATTTGGACTCCTCCTCTAGAGGAAATGCAGGTAGGAATACCTTCAATAGCAATAGCACTTTGACTTATATACCACTTTAAAGTGCTTTACAGCCCCCTCTAAGCGGTTTACAGAATCAGCATATTGCCCCCAACAATTTTATACACCTTGGAAGGGTGGAAGGCTGAGTCAACCTTGAGCCTGGTAAGATTTGAACTGCCAAATTTCAGGTAGCCAGCAGTCAGCAGAAGTAGCCTGCAGTATGCACTCTAACCACTGTGCCACCAGGGCTCAAGATTCCTTCTTCCCTCAAAAAGCCATTCCTTGGCTTTCTCCTCCACTAGGACTCTCTGATATGAACAGTTAGAAGGGGCTCAGAGCACCGGCTATTTTTACGGGGGAATCTGTAGCTGAAGTGAGGGGAGGAGTCTGGCGAGGTGGACATCAGGCACGAAGAACCAGAACAACACTGAGAGTTGATCAGAGTGGTATTTTATTGCTGCTCGCCAATCTATAAGAATCTTGCCAGACTGACTCCACTCGCTACAGAGCAGCCAGATAAACACTCCAAGTCTTAGAAAAGCATCTGCATTCTGCCACTTCTCCCCTTCAGTGTTTTCAAGCTAGCCGCTCTCTTAATTACTCCCCCACCCACTTCAACTGCAGATTCCACAACTATTTCTTCTTGACAACCTCCCCTCCAGCTTCCTAGATGCTGCCTAGAAGGAGGAGGGGATGATAAGGACAGTTACTAGACACTGTGTGGTAAAGTGTCCATTGCATTGGGAGGGTAGTGAAACTAGTGGCTGCAAAGCAGAGGTGGTATTCAGCAGGTTCTGACCAGTGCTGGAGAACCGGTAGTGGAAATTTTGAGTAGTTTGGAGAACCGGCCAATACCACCTCTGACTGGCCCCGCTCTCATCTATTCTCTGCCTCCCGAGTCCCAGCTGATCAACTGTGTCTTCTTTTGTTGCCCTGCACAGGAGAACAGAGCTGGAAAGCAGGTTAGTGGGGTGGGGAGGGAATGGGATTTTGCAGTAACCTTCCCCCAGGAATGGGGAGGAAATGGAGATTTTATAGTTTCCTTCTGCTATCATGCCCGCCATGCTACGCCCACCAAACCATGCCCACCAAGTCACACCCACAGAACTGGTAGTAAAAAAAAATTGAATCCCACCACTGCTGCAAAAGAAAGTTTTAGGTTCCCCAGCAGGAAAATACTAATAAAGATCTTATCTTGGTCAGCCATTATGTATCTATCAAAACAATTTCAGTTTGTTACTGAATGCAAACTCAACTAGAAGTACCTGTCAACTAGGCTCAGTCTATATGACATACACATATTCATACTCCAGTTCCTTGCATTCAAAATGGACATTTCTATTTAGATGGCAACCCAAGCATCATTCTATGCTGTTTCCAAAATTATAGAAGTGGGAGATCAGCCATATTTGCCTGATTCTTGGCAACTGTCACTCCTGCTGCTGCTTCAATACATGCAGTGACCACTTAGCATTCCATAGGTGTTTAGCCAAGAGTGCAATAGGATATTCCAGAGAGACGTCAGTAGCTCTACTATGAAGCTACTTTAACTTAAAGAATAAGGGATTCCTTATCCTTTAATTACTTTTTAAAGTTTATGCTAAGGCAATTAAAAAGGGAAGGAGCAGCAGCAACTCATTTCTTCCTCAGGAATCTGGCTCTTCCATTGTTCTAAAGCATTGCAGAGAGAATGTTGATGACATCAAAAAACAGAGATGGAGAATATTTGGCCAAATGTTCTGCAAAGGGACGTTCCTACTAGTTAGAAAGGAGGGCAAAACATTTCCTCGGGGGAAAAAAAAACAATTTGTGAGAACTTTCAGCTCAGTTCTAAACCGTTAATTCCAACTACCTGATCTGTTACATTCAGAACAGTTCATAATAGAACATGGCAAAACACATCACAGCTGACTCATTAATAGATCAGAAATTGTATTAATAGAAGGCACAAAGGACACATATTGCTGTATTTCTAGTAATTCCCCCTTTCAGTCCTTTTCCTTTTATGTCTGGTTTAGGAATATTTTAATTTCCTATAAAAACATTTCTGGAAGGATCAGGGAACAACAAAGGGTTGCATAAAATGGAGACATTTCCCCCCACCCCAAAATTTAGGATCTCAATAAATGGAAACAGAATTTTTGACTGATAACAGAATAGTTAGTTCTTTATCTGGTAGGCAACAAATTATGCAAAATCTCTGAAGTGAAGCTATATAGCAGCAGTAGGCAAAATATTCCTGTCTTTTGTAATTAATTACAACCTGGTCATTCAATAAAACTGTTTCATGCCTCAATTTATTTAGCTAGATCATCACATACTTTATGTAGTAAAAATTATACCAATTAAATATGGTCAGTCATTGTCATCTGCTTCCTGGATCACACCATTCCATTCCATTCAGCTGAATATCACTAATGCTACTAAATGCTTAGCAGTTAAAAGAAACATCTCAAATCTGTTCTACCCTAGTATTTATATGAAATACTTTTGTTATCTGAAAATTAGCTGACAACCGCATGAAAACCATTGAGGCAGACTTGGGGTTTTTTTTTTTGACCCTGCTGTCTTATGGCATTTTCTATCAACAGTGGACACAAAGGCTGCCTTTTACACTAAAGGCTGGTGAACTCCCTGCATCCCATTTCAGATAAGGTTTTGGCCTTACTCAATAATCTCCTGCTTCAATGACTGAAATGCACTTTATCTTGGGCTGGTTCTGAAGGTCATCAGAAGCTTCCACTAGCACAAATACAAAATTCAACCTCTGGCAAGAGGAGGCTGGGAAGCATATAATCCCAGGCTTGGTTTGGTTTGCTGTGCTTCTGTATTTGCTTCCAAGCCTAATTCAGAATATGGAATTTGACCTTTCAAGGCCTGCATAATTTAGAAAGAGCTGCTTCCCATATGTTTCCTTCCCCTGCCTCTGAGCTCCAAAAAGCTCTTAGAAAGCTAAGCTTGGTATTGGAGATATACACCTTATGGTCCATACCACCTCTTTTGCGGGCACCACAAAAAGATTGCAACTCTATAGAATGCTTATAACATTAACTAGTTGGGGGAAAAGAGCAGTACGCGGAGAGTAAGAGATAAAAGGATGGCATGTCTCATAACAAGTTGAGCAAATGCAATCATCTTGCTGACATATCTTTAGTTTTAATTTGCTGCTCTTTTCTTTTTACTATCTAAAATAGGTTTCTTAATTAATTATAAGTCAGCCTAATGGAGGAGAACAACAACAACAACAACAAGGAACACTATCCAGGAGCTAAAATCTCCAGGATTTGTCTGGGGAGGTAGGGAACAAAGCTTGCCCTCAAAATAAGAAATCAGATACATGCACCAAAACAGTGAAATGGAATGATTCAGGAAAAAAAGGAAGGAAGTTAGTTATCAACTATGACATATCACAGAAAAGCAGCCCACAACTTCCTAATACCGTTTTTCTGAGGAAGAAAATACAAAGAATCTATAAGGCAGGGGACTATCCAATTCCTTTCAGAAGATCAGAGTAACATTAATCAATCCATCCATCCATTAATTAATTTGCAGTAAGCATTTCTAACTTACTGACCATCCTTAAACTGGAGTGTTTCAAAGTCCATGAATAATGATTTATCTTCTTGTAAGAGCATGGCAACCATCTGCTGAAGGTCTGCTATTTTCGGTACAAATGTAGGTATCTCCTTCTCTTCGCCAAGAATGCTCTTCTCGCTTTCAATTTTTTTGACGTCAGTACCATCCGCAGGTAGTTCTGAACCATCTCTTTCAAAGTTGGCAATATATTGTGCCACAGTGCTGCTTGTCCTGTGGGGTAGGAAGAAGAAAGGAATATCGGTTTGTTGATGTGGGAGGAGGAAGGAACATGGTATATTATTTGGGGACTGATTTTTACAGCTAGGGTGCTGAATTAAACTACAGCCAACAAGTAATATCTTCCAGCTAATTTCTGACTTAAATTTCACTGCAAAGCTTATGGAAATGGGCATAAATAAAATGCCATTGACTATTGATTCATTTTGTAATACAGTTCGTATCAGTTTAAAACATCAGCTTGACATTATTCAGGTTGTCCATGGGGGGGAGGGTTAAATAAAGTCACAGTCATAATCATGTGATTGAAGATTTGAAACCTTTTATGCGACGTCACAGAAATAAAAAGGGGCTGGCTTCAATCACATGGTTGTAGTGGCCATCTTGACATTTCAGAGCCCCCCACTCCATCAGTTGGATGCCTTGACTATATTATTGAAAGACCTACTCCAATGTACTAGTGTTTCAGCAAAATGAAAGTGCATCTCATTTACCCAGGAATACAATTTAAAATGTAGAAAATAAACAAAACAAATAATTTTTCAGGCAATACCACTCTTGAGGCATATGGGTCTTTGTAAAAACAAAAATACAATTGGTGAAAATAAAATTCTCAAGAGATTAGTGAAACATCTGCTCAGCCTGTGCTTAATATAGCCATTACTCAGATATCAAGAGCCTTGGTGGTGCAGGGGTTACAATGCAGTATTGCAGGCTAATTCTTCCGACTGCATCAGTTCAATTCTCACTGGCTCAAGGTTAATGCAGCCTTTCATCCTTTCGAGTTCGGTAAAATGAGAACCCAGATAGTTGGGGGCAAGAGGCTGAGGCTGAAAACTGCTAAGCAGGTGCTGTAAAGCACCATGAAGTGGTATAGAAGTCTAAGTGCTATTGCTATCATTTTTGTAAAGAAGACATTTTTCATTACTTTTGTCTCTTAAGTCCTTGAATCTGTTAAAGATATGAAATGAGCATCATTAACCTGTAGCATTGTTTGTGTGTGTGTGTGTGTGTATAAGAGAGAGAGAGAGAGAGAGAGAGAGGTCTCACACATTGCTTTTCTCTGATTTAATGGTTTTTTTTCTTGCATATTTCTCTTTTGATTAGACTTTAAATTGAAGTGGCCTTCTGTTTCATGTAGTTTTATTCACAAGGCCAGTCCATTGCCTCCCTTAGGACATTTTATTTATTTTATTTATTTGATTTGTCAATTGCTTTCAAGATAATAGGTATAAGTATAAACATGAGTAAGAATACAGGAAATAGGTACGAATAAATGGGGACAATAGGACAGGGATGGTAGGCATGATGGTACACTTAAGCATGCCCCTTACAGACCTCTTAGGAATGGGGTGAGGTCAATAGTGGATAGCTTGAGGTTAAAGGAGTGGGGGTTTAGAGGATGTAGCAACAGAGTCAGGTAGTGCATTCTAGGCATTGATCACTCTGTTGCTGAAGTCGTACTTTCTGCAATTGAGTTTGAAGTGGTTTACATTGAGTTTGTATCTGTTGTGTGCTCTTGTATTGTTATGGTTGAAGCTGAAGTAGTCATTGATTGGTAGGACACTGTAGCAGATAATTTTGTGTGCTGCGCACACAATTTCCCAAACTTCCCAGGCTTGTCAATCATCCAAGATGTTTGGCATCTGAGACTGGTGCAGAGCAGCTGGGATGGGATTGAGTGGGCATCCAGAAGGGTTCAGGTAGCCACCAAAACCATACCATCCCTTTAGGAGTGGAATGTTCTCTTTTTAACCTCTCTCAAGTGCACAAAGTGCTTATTTACACAGTTAAAAAGGACACAGATGCCATCAGGAATTCTGGATGCTCCAGAGCTCCAATGCTTTGGTGTTCAGTTCCAGCAAACACAGAGATTCTCCCTCATCCACAATCAGGACGGAGGATTTTGTTTTGCTGAATTAAACATAGCATTAATGACTGGGGAACATTAATAAAATAAACCCTTGAGAGCGGGATAGTAAAATGTAAATGACTATGGTTCTGTCCTATTTGTGCAGCAGTTCATGAGTAGAAAGGAAGGAAGGGACAGATCAGTAGGATACAAGGCTTGTTCTTTATTGGGATCTACATTAGAGTCACTTTGATGTTGTGATAAAGGTGCTGTGAGTTCTAGCACTGCCTTTGGTATGAAAACCGGCTGGGTGACTTTGGGCCATTCACTTTTCTCAGCCCAACTCACCTCACAGGATTGTTGTTGTGGTGAAAATAGGAGGAGGAAGGAGTATTAAGTATGTTCGCTACCTTGACTTATTTACAAAAATAATAAATGTAGGATATAAACAAACAAACAAATAATAAGGAAATATCAGTAATAATAAATGGTAAATAAACTATTTAGTCTTTCTTAAATAATAATAATAAGAAATAATTAAATAATAATAAATAATATTAAACTCTGTGTTTTCCTTGCTATTAAAAATCTCACCCAGCTCATGAGAACTGGGCATGATATTGTATAAATTTCCGAAAGACTCTATTCTAAGAATTAGGGATTTCCACATTTGTTTTATTACTTTATTATGAATGTCCTTGTACCATTCTCCAGGAGAATGACAATTCTACCAGGCAATTATTTTAGTACAAGGTTCATTCTTCTCAAACAGCAAAGAAAAAAATAGTACTTTTGAACTATTCTTTTTTAAAGTCCTCTGCAGTAGCAAATCATAGACAGGATAAGGAGGCCCTGGAAAGTGGAATGTATTTTGCTTTCCATTGCAAAAATACTTGAAACCCTGAAGCACAAAGCCTTCAAAAAAGCTTTCAGGTTTGACTGAAAATTCAATAGTAACTGGAGGCCCCATGAGATCTAAAAAATCTGCACCTTGGACAATTTCATTTTGTGAGTCAAATGAGAACGGACCTTCCAGCAATGTTTCAAAGTTTTATAAAAGGAGCCCAGGAAGCAGTTTTCTTTATACACGATGTTTTCCCAAGGAGATATATAAAGGTATTTATTTTGTTTTTGTTCTGAAAAGAACATGAAGGTTATGATTTCTGAGTGATGGCTATCTCAAGAGGAAAGAAAACAATTCGGGTTGTTTCAGTAAGACTTGGCACTTTTCCCTCACCCCACTCTCCAATTCAGCCTGAAGGAACAAAAAGGCAAGATTGGGACCTAATCTTGTTTTACACATGGAGTTCAATTTCTTTTTAAACTGCCATTGATTGCTGAACAAACCAGCAACAAATCATACAATATTAGGCCTTGGTCTAGCACAACGGTCTCCAACCTTGGCAACTTTAAGACTTGTGGACTTCAACTCCCAGAATTCCTCAGCCAGTTGAAGTCCACAAGTCTTGAAGTCCACAAGTCTTAAAGTTGCCAAGGTTGGAGACCCCTGGTCTAGCAAAGCCTTTAACAAACTATCTTCAAGCTGCCTGCTCTCTAGCTGTGTGAGTTTCAATTCTCAACATTGATAGAGCTGATGAGAGAATTCTGAAGTCCAAATTCCTAGAGAGGACATCTTTGAGGTTTCCATGGTTCCTGAAATACAGGCAACAAAAAGTCAAGCATTTGGGGAAAAGAAAAACTACACGCTTGTTAAGACCTGTTGCCAATTACATAGGAATGTGAGAATATGGAAGCCTAGCCTTCTGTTTTGCTTCCCAAATGTTTATCCACATTACACTGAACCTATTATGTACTAGGTCTTGGAGAGAGCAGTGACTTTTGCTTTCTACCCGATTTAATTTGCCTAGACTATACAATGTCATTTAAAGAAAATATTTCCTTCTGTATTTGAAAGAAAAGAAATTGACTTATTTAATATTACTGCTATAACTAATTATATATCACCTATTAAAAAAACCTGCAGGAAAGTTACCCATCTTTTTCCTTCTTCTGTCTTCAGTTCAGCATACGACAGGATAGATGGAAGCATTCAAAAGGAAGAAAGACAAAAAAAAAAAAGTCAAACCATTAAACTGTGCGGGCATATACCACTTGTTTACACTAAGATCTGCATTTTTCACACTGAAATGAGGAGGAGGAGGAGTGGAAAAACCGGATTGTTATCATTACAGTTGTTTAATTTACTGTCATTACTCCTTCTATTCTGGTAGCAAAAGGTTGTAACTGCTGTAGATTCTTTTCCCCTCCTTAATCCTTCTCCCCCGAGTCATCATTTACACAACATTTTCCGATGCTCTTCCAGAAAACCTTTCTTTCTGCTAACAAAGGATATGTGTAAAAGGCAGGGGGTGTTTGGGGGATGTTGTCAAAAAAATCAAGATGATGGCTGTGATTGTGCCATACGTGTTGCACATACAACGCATGTGAAAAGGTTAGGGCTTTGAAGATGCTGTCAGAGCCATCCTTTTGAATTTTCTGATTCCTCTGTGGGCAACCCGGTAAGAAAATTCCAAAGGAAAGATTCCGCTCCTTCTTCTTTTTTTCCTTCTATAGCTGTCAGCATTCTAAGACTCAATTTCGAGCAACTATAGGAAACCCATAACCTTAATGCAGCAATTTTTAATTAACAATTTCCTTATGGGAACCACAACAGAGACCAAAATTATTTGGCCAAGCGAGACATTTGTTAAGTGCATTTTGCCCCATTTTACAACCTTTCCTGCCACTCTTGTTAAGTGAATCACTGCCGTTGCTGACTTAGTGACATGGTTGTTAAGTGAATCTGGCTTCCCCATTGACTTTGATTGTCAGAAGGTCGCAAAAGGTGATTACCTGACACTGGGATACGGCAACCGTTATAAATATGAGTCAAGTTGCCAGGCGCATGAATTTTGGACACATGACCATGGTGATGCTACAGTGGCAATAAGTGCAAAAAACTGGTCATAACTCACTTTTTTCAGGGCTGTTGTAACTTTGAATGGTTACTAAATGAACTGTTGTAAGTCAGGAACTGCCTGTATTTATGTATTAATTTTGAGAGAGAGGCAGTTAAGATTTATTTTCACCTAGAAACGGTACAGTAAATGTCTTAACAATACACTCAGGGGTGGGATGCTTCCGGTTCTGCTTGGTTTTATAGAACCAGTAGCTCTGAAGAGCAGCAGACACCAAACTGGTTCTGTGTTTGCTGCTGTTTGGCCCACCCACCCGCCCGGGCTCTTATCTGTCCTTTATTTCCTGCTTTTTCAACCTCAGCTTCTTTGCATGGCTCAGCGAAGCTTGAAAAAGCAGGAAAAAAGTGGCTTTTCAAACGCTGCACACCCACGCACAGTGCTTTTCAGCTGTCTGGGTGGCACAGCTTAAGGTTTTTACACGCATGCAAAATATAGTCACCGAACTGGTAGTAAAACCAGTTGAATCCCACCCCTGAATATACTACTATGTCTTTAATCCTCAGAAGCAATACAGTACAATGTCTTTAATCCTCTTGTGTCTGCTATTTCTATTGGCAGTGCCCTACAGACACTCAGGTACTCAGTTTTGAGTTAAAGTATAATCAGAATGTTGGTGCAGAATAAAACACTAAACATCAAAACTCAATATAAGAAGTTCAATACCTCTATTGTTTCCCGTATGACACAGAAAAGAAGGGAAGTAGTTTTACTCATGTTTCTGTTTCTCTCAGATTCTGCTTTGGGGCAAAGAATGCAAATATCTAGTTTACTGCATACTTGAAAACCAGCTTTTAAAATTGAAATTATTTTGTTAATTTGTTTCTTTACTAGATAATTTATATTGTGCTACTGGTGCTTTGTCGAATTTCATGTTTGCTTTGTTTTCCATTCTGTTTTGAAATTTTAAAATTCAAAATAAAATTACAGGGTTAACTTATTTAGCTTGATATTTTGAAGGCTGGTGGGCAGAAGTGCCGTTTGGTTCGGAATAGAATAGAACAGAACAGAACAGAACAGAACAGAACAGAACAGAACAGAATAGAATAGAATATAGAATTCATTATTGGCCAAGTGTGATTGGACACACAAGGAATTTGTCTCCAGTGCATAAGTTCTCAGTGTACATGCAAGCAATAAAGAGATAAGTCATAGGTCATAAATTATAAGATAGAATAATAAAGCATAAGATACAATAACAGTTGATAAATTATAATATACAACAGGAGAAAGATAGAAGGAAAGATAAGAGGTGATAAGAGGTGAGAAAGATGAGAAGATGAGAAGGATAAATTATATTAAATTAAAATGAATTATATTCAAATTCTGATCTTCACTGTACTGGGGCCCTTTCATTAATGTTTTCCTTGAGTATGTATATACATTTTGTGGAACTTTCAACATTTTGAAGAGAAAAAGGAAAGGAAGGGAGAAAACAATCTAAGGAAAGTAGTAAAAAAAAGTCCCAGGATTTCCCAAATAAAACAATGGAATTATTAAAATGCTTATTTTAAAGGTTAGGGGACCTCTAACACTCCCTGAAGTAACACTGTACAAAGATCTTATCCATAAGGCAAGTCACTGCCAGATAAAACAGCACCACGTGAAATGACATTCTAATTCTAGCTAATTAACACAACTTTGATTCCTCAAGTCCTGCAAACTCTAATCTCTTTGCTTGTGAGAAAGTTTCACTGAATATGACAGGACTCCCTTCAGAATCATACAAGCAAGGGTCATATTGTAAAGGGCCTTATTGTGGAAGCAACCACTGAGAAATCTCAGAGCCTTAGATGCCTGATTTTACTTTTTTCCCTTTTATTCTGCCTTATTTTCATAGTTGAATGCTGGAGTTATTTTTCAGATGTTTTGTACCCCGGGATCTATACTAGAGTAAAAAATACGTGGCTATAATAGCAGCTTTGAAAGCAGCACAATTTTCCGGAGGAAAATAATTTGACCCATATGAACATTACTACTCCAACATGTAAAATAAGGTTGACATTTGAGTTCCTATTAATAAATACAAGTTGATTATGGAAGAAGGGGCCAAGAGGAGCTACAGTACACTAACTCCAGCACAGTCAGTGTACTGTAATGAACCTGAGAATGGTTACACCTTTGCAATGGTGAGGAACTGGGTTTTGGATAATTAGCATAACTGAGAGAAGAGTAGAGATGTGCCAAAACCTACCATGGTTAAAATGACCACGATTTCTTTTTGACAGAAGCCTAAGAAGCTTATCATTCTCACACTATAGAAATGTAATGAATACTAATGAAGACATCTTTAAGCATTTATTAAATTAGTTAAAGATTTGAATAAGCATTACAATAATCAAAGACTTCACTGGATCATGTCACCGTGACATTATTGGGCTAATATTAACATGACTTCACTAATCTTTGTACTCACTTAGGATTTTGGTTTTATTTTATCCAGAACTTAGGAGCATTGATCTTTCCACTTCTTTTTCTTAACCATACCTTATTTGAGTTTGAAAAAAAAAGCTAAATAACAACATGTCAGAACAGAAATAAAGAAAAAGAAGATAAAGAGCTTTGTTTTCTCAAATTTAAAAAGGAAAATAATCTTTTGGCATTCATTTAAGATTATATTTCCTAAAGAGAATGTGTGTGTGTGTGTGTGTGTGTAAATCACAAACATACAAATATAGATATTAGAAACAATAATAAATTGCTTACTTCACCCTCAGGGATTGGGGGAAAGTGGAAAAATTGGAGCAAGGAACAACCAACTGAAAGTGATACCACTTATTACCTTCAGTGGAATGCTAAAATCAACAGGGAGCTAATACATTTTATCCAAGTTGCAGCCAACAAGCTGAAATTAATGTCTTGAACTGTGATTGGATGAGGCACAGAATTCATGTCTAGCTACAATAATTACCATTTTTCTTCCAGATTTATTTTTAAATCTCAGTTTTATGTAAAGTCATTGTTGGACAAAGAGAAAAACCAAGAAATGTCAACATTGGTTGTTTATTTAGAAGAAAGGAATAGTGTGTTGAGTTGTGTTAGCACGTTGCATAGACTTCCTAAGTGGCAGCACATAAGCAAATCTATTCTGACTTGTCTCTACATTAGAAATCCTAACTTGCATAGAATAGTGTGAGCATGTCTGGGTGTATGTGATAAATAAATAGATTTGTATTATAGAATGTTTTGTGCAAATATGTTATTATATTAAAGTAGCAATATACATGTCAGGAGAAACCTAAAATAGACTTTTGTGGGAATGGGATACTTAAGAAGACTGTGTGGTAAACCAAAAAGAGACAAGGTGAAGAATGAATGAATGATGAAAGAATTGGTCAAAAGGAAATGACAAAGATGGAAGAGGTGTACTGAAGTGGTTTATTGTACCGAAACAAAGACCAAGAAACAAATTGGATGTTTTGCATTCAAATTGCAAAATGTCTATATGATGGAAGAGTGACTGGACTGAGAAAGAGTAGAAAATAGAGAAAGTTGTTGCAGGAGTTTAATGAAAAGAAGTGAGAAGTTTAAGAAGCAAAGGGCAATATGAATTGTGTGTGTGGACATGGAGGAAGCCAAAATGTTTGGCAAGAATATAAGGTATGGGGATATATAATGAATGAATTTAGTGTAATAAATTTAACTACATATTTCATATTTCATTTTCATGTTTTTATTACTATTATTATTACTTCGTTACCGCTTACTATTTCTTACTCCTTTTCTTTGCGCTCCTAATCTTGCTTACTCTGAGAAGGAAAATTTGTGATAGGGATGTGTGTCAGTTTCAAGATTATGTTTATAGTTGTGTGGTTGCTGAAAAAATTAGTTACTGTAAGAAGATCCTAACTGAAACCCCATTTTCCTATGATGGCAAGGGACATTTAAAATGTCAACCTTGGTAGATACATCTGAGAGATATGAACATCAAGGACTGCCAATGAATGTTAGATGATAGCATCATCCTGATATTGAGGAAAGGTCAATTTAGGGAAAGCTCTTGTGGTGGCATGTTATTTTTCCAGATCATTCTCCTCTGCTGCTCACTTCACTTCACGCTTCCTCTGCACTGGAATCACACATTTTTCATTTAAATTATACATTACTTAAAAGGCATCTGTGCTAGTTTCTTTTCTAAACTATTTCTAGCCTGTCTTTTAAATCAGGGGTCTCCAACTTTGGCAACTTTAAGCCTGGCGGACTTCAACTCCCAGAATTCCCCAGCCCATTTTAAATAATATCATTTCTCCCCCAGTCAATCATAGCTATTCATTCCTTAGAAATTAATAATTGTATTCATAGAAATTTGGGGATTGAAGATAAACTTGGCCTTACTAACTTCAGTTTTGAAACTAGCAACTTCAAACTACTTGCTGTTTTTATCCTACAAGTATTAATGGAAGCCAATGAAGAAAATTTTATTAATAATAACTTATATAACCAATTCTACAATGGTGAAGAAAGACATGCAGGCTTTTAAGTTAAATTGTAGTTGCATCATCTTTTAAAACAGCTTGTGATCCCAGAACCGTATCAATTTCTTCAATCTAAAAGACTGAAAATGTGCAAGTCATAAACTCATTTAGAAATATTTTCAATTAAATTACCACGACTACCAATAATAATATCATCAGAGGTTCCCCAAAGACTTAAAAGGAAAGGCAGGTCAATCAACTCCTGATGACTTCTTCTAACAAAAGAAAGTGAGAAAGTGTAATTAAGTAGGCAAAGGGTTCTACTTAATTAGTTCTTCATTTAATCACATAATTCATTGGGGAATGTAGACCATTCACTATTCTCAGCCAACAGTACTTCCTAGGATTGCTATAGAAACAAAATAAGGAGAAATCTGTCACTTTGAGATCTCACAGAAAAGGCGGGATATCATACAGTAAATAAATAATAACAACAGCCTTGTTACTTTAAAAGCAAAAAGCAGCAACACTTACCTAAATCCTAAGATGCGAATTTCTTTGAAACCTTCAAGTTTTTCAAATATCTTTTGCATCTATTAGAGAGAAAAGAAAAGAAAAAAACTGAAGGTAATTATGTGCTCATTCCTCAGCTAGAGGAATTAACAAATATTATCTAAAATATTTTTTTAGTATTTACTCCCAGCAGACCTTGTTCTAATATTTGTTAAACACAACTCAAGAATTTAAAAAGAACATTACAGAACTTGTTTCTGTTTTATAATTAATAGGGTGCCAATATCTCTAAAACACACCAGATATGGGACTTTTTAAACTCATATATGAGCATATACAATTAAATCATGTAAAGTTGCATTGCATTTTCTAGAACAGCCTTCCCTAACTTGAGACCTTCCAAAGTGTTCTGTACTACAGCTCCCATTATTCCCCAATTGCTTGACCAAGGATAGCATGAAGAAAGCAGCCCTTGAATCTTTATCTGAAGGAATGCATAAGGGACAAATCCAGGGTGGGATTCAATTTTTTTTACTACCGGTTCTGTGGGCGTGGCTTGGTGGGAGTGGCATGGCATGACTCGGTGGGTGTGGCTTGATGGGCATGGCATGGCATGGCTTGGTCAGTGTGGCTTGGTGGACGTGGCAGGAGAAGGATAGTGTAAAATCTCCATTCCCACCCCACTCCAGGTTCCACTGGTTCTCTGAACTGCTCAAAATTTCCGCTATTGGTTCTCCAGAACTGGTCAGAACCTGCTGAATACCACCTCTGGACAAATCTACAAATGCCTATCCCACTGATGAATGCTTCACTTTGCAGATATACTTTCAAGAGAAGTGACTATATAATGTCAGTCCATTTGTATATTGATTTACACTCAAACTGTAAAGATTAATTTGTCTGAAATCTCATTTTAAAATGGACTTAACCCATAGCATAATAGTGGACAAATAGATTATTAATTCTGAAGCTTAGTATGCAGCAAAATAAGGGAAAATAAGCTTAGTATACAGCAAAATAAGGGATTTTTCTCTGCTGTACACTTTGTAGGGAAACATCATTAAGTTCCTTCAAAGCTGCTTAAAGGAGCCTCACATTTGAAACTGATCTGGCAATTCAAAAGGCAAAAAGAATGATCTGCTATTTATTAGATGTTCATTGTTTTGTATATAAGTCACTCAAGGCAGCATTCATAATACCATTTCTTCCTATTTTCCCCACAACAACCACCTCATGAGGTGGCTTGGGCTGAGAGTGATTGGCTCAAGGTCACCCAGCTGGCTTTCATGCCTAAACTGGGACTAGAACTCAGTCTCCTGGCTTCTAGGCCACCGCTTTAGCTACCACTCCAAACTGTCTCTCACCCATATTCTTTTTCACAGTGCTGTTATTGATTTCTGCTTAGTGTTCAATGGAGAAAGCTTTGATTCATTACTTGCTGACTCTCAATGATTTAATGAAGCATCAGTTAATCTTTGATAATGATATACACTTGCTATTTTCGCTGTAGCTCAGGAGGAGAATAATGGCCAGAGAATGATCAGAGAAAATGCATGCTTTGGGTTTTCTCGCTCATCACTAGTTAATGGCATTCAACATCTATATTTAAATTGACCATCAGGTTTATTGTTTCAATAGCATTATTATAGAGAATTGTCAGATTAATTCCTGATTAGGGATCAAATAATTTTTCCTAATGGCGTGTAAGTCTAATGTGCTCTGCTGACTGGCTAGATCTACAGTCTGTTATAGAGATACTGCCAGCATGTGTTATTTTGGTGGAGAAACAGATGTCATGCCCAGCTGAGAATACTAAAAGAGATGGAGAGCAGGACAGTAATACCGTACGTCTGCAGAAGCAGAAATCTGTATATTACAATCTACGGTGATAGGTCTACATTCTAAAAAAAATTCTGTTTAAGATTCTTTGAAAAAAAAAATCTGCATTTGTTTTCATTTCCAACTTTGTACAACCTATGGATCTCTTACAAGCAACTTCCCATAGATCCCCCCCTTTTTTACAAAAAATATTTGATGTCATTACATTTTATTTTGTTATGAATATTTAAAACAGATATTTCTCCAAATAAGCTATTTTGTAACATAACTATCTTTTTCCATATTCAACTTTTCAAAATATGCATTTTTTAAAATAAAAAATATATCTCACAAATGTTATCTTGCTTTTATCAGATATTTTTCTTGACAAAAAGAAAATGGATTCCATGCAAGGAATCAATCAAACTAGCAGCCCATGGGCTGGATGCATCACGCACAAGCCACACCCATCCTGGTTCTGCAAAGGCAAAAAACATCATGATATGTCACGATACATCATGTGACATGATAGAGTTTGATACCCATGCATTCATGGAACTACCCATTCAGGAGGAGTCTATTTTGGCAGATCTAGTAAATATACCCTTCTGTAGAGATCTGTGGTGTATTTTCCCATCACCTTCCCCTCTTTCTCATAATATATAAAAAGATCTCAAGCTTGACGTCTCTTCTAAGGTGTGCACATTTTTCACAGTTGGAAGATTTTACCAAGAGAATGTTATAAGTAAGCAACATGTAATCCTTAAGGAATGAAAAATTCTATCTTGCTTTCACATATCACGATCTAAATGTTAGTTTGATTGGGTAGATTTTCTGTGAAACAATTGCATCAATATTATTTTATTTCTAATGAAAGCTATCCCTACTGAAGTATGTAGAGGTAAAATCCCCCATACTAAAATATATTGTAGCATGATGCAATAACATCTGTTATTACCTTGATCTAACTAAATCCTAGTATTTTATCACCTTCATTAGACCAGAGTTGGCTTCTAGGTCCAGTTCTAAATACTAATGTCAATTTATCAAATCCCTTCACAATGTTATAAAAAAACTATTTTTTAAAAGATATTCTACTTCATTCTTGAGAAGATCTCCGATACTTGGCTCTAAATAGAAGCGGGGAGAGTGGCTACCTAATAGACCTTTTCTAGCAGCTATTATTGAAATTTTTGATGGAAGATTTTAATGCGAAATGGTTGTAATTTACCTTGTGTAACTCACTGATATTATCCATTACTTAAAACATGATAAAGTGTTCACATTACATGCTAATTATTTTATCAGGATAAAGTACTCTGTACTTGTAGCACTTTATGCAATAATGAAATATCCACAATATTTGAATTGATACATCTTTTATTCTTCAAATTGCTTTTTCATATAATAACAGTTCCTGTTCCTGTGTTACTTAATATTTAATTTAAGCATTACCAACTTTTGCAGTTTAGAAAATGCTAGGAGAGGCTTATTCACAAAATGGGGACATAATTCCAAGAATGCTACTAGCCACTTTCTAAAGCCAACACAATTAGCATGATGCTCCTTTATTATTTTGGCCCCTTTTTCTGGTCAGGGAGAACATTTCTAATCCAAGCACTGAACAATTAGAATTGACCATAATTTTTATTATCTAGGGACATTTATGGAGCCTGTTCATAGCCCTGATATATTATGGGAAATGAACAGGATCCTGATTGTTAAAAAACTAACTCCAGCAATTAGGGATCTTCAAACTTGACAGCTTTAAGAATTGTGGACTTCAACTCCCAGAATTCCTCCTCCAATCATGTTAGCTCAGGAATTCTGGGAGTTGAAGCCCACAAGTCTTGAACTTTCCAAGTTTGAAGACCCTTGAGCTTGATAATTTTCCCAGTGCTACAAATATGGGACAAACTCCATTTTGTGAGCAGGGACAAAATTGGGTTAAGTAGCCTCACCCTTGATATCACCCTTGTGATACTAGCGTGTCCAGAGGTAGATAAGGCAATGTTAAGTGGAAATGAATCTATAGTCTGCCTCTCCTTATGTGCAGATATATCTTTATTCTAATGCACAAATAAAATTCTATCACCATTTGCTTGTATGACAGCAAAATGAAGGCACCTCTCCTATTGATCATTACATATGGTAACAATCTGACAGCGGCTAGAACATTTGAACAGTTATTTTGAAGGATTAAACAGAGGCAAGAGTCTGAGTTACCAAAGTTTACTTCTTATTCCAGTAAGATTTAAGCACACACCTTTAATAAGTGAGATTTAAAAGTGTTTAACTGTGAATAGTTTATACTCCTTTAAAAAAAACAAGACAAAAAAACAAAAACAAAAGTCTGAAATACCCCAATAGCATAGTGTATACTGAGTTGCTTGGAAATTAAAGAAAACTGAAGTCTAAAATATAATTTCACTTTTCTATCTTAATAAAGTGCAGCAGTCCTCATTTAGCTTACCACAATCATGATCAGCAGCTCTGTTGTTAAAGAAATGGGAAATCGTATGACCTCATTTGTGTTTTCCCTTTTTCCACTTCCCTAATCTTTGGAATGCTTACTGACAGCACTGGGATACCTGGCTTGAAACTGACAAGATTAATCATTTTCATAACTCCAGATTTTGTCTCTGGTTCTTTGGAATGTTCACCCAGTTGCTGGAATCAAGAATGGAATTAATGTTTACATTTACATTAAGAGAGGGATTACAAGAGGCACATAATACAACTAAAAGCAATATAGTGGCACCAGCAGCTGTGACTGGCTAGGCAAATAGCCTGCTATATTCCCCATTGTATAGCCGCTTACTCTCTTCTGACTTATTCTTCTCCAATCTCTCTATTCTGGGTGGTGGGGAAGAAAAACGGACCAGGCACAGGAAAGATGGCCTAGATAACCGATAACAGATAATTAGAGTTGGAAGGGACCTTGTAGGTCATCTAGTCCACCCCCCTGCCCAAGCGGAAGACCCTACACTATTTCTGACAAATGGCAGTCCAATCTCTTCTTGAAAGTCTCAAGTGATGGCGCTCCCCCAACTTCTGAGGGCAAGCTGTTCCACTGGTTGATTGTTCTCACTGTCAGAAAGTTTCTCCTTATCTCTCCTTGTTCAGTTTCTGTCCATAAATTACTTGTTCCTTCCCCCTCACATAATGGAGACATTGGAAAGGAAAGGATGCAACCACACAATGGGGAATAAATTATGATATTTTGGTAGTGCACTTGTAGCTCCCAGCACCCTGTACATTTATGGCTGCCAGTACTACTCTGCATTTATTCTGATGTACATTTCCCATTGTGTATGTGCTTACTCTCTTGTAATCCCTTTCTCTACGCTCTGCAAGGTGGAGGCAGAGGGAAAACAACAGGTCAAGCATAGGACAATGCACACTTTCTGTATGATTATATAACTTTGGGATACTGCAGATCAGAAACACAGGCATTGGTTGTAAAATTATATTGTCAGCACCATCGTAATGTTGAATAATCATAGAATAGACAGCCAATAAACAAGGACTACCTATACATTTAACTAGCAAACCAGAAATATATTTTCTATGTCTTCAGTAACTGCTATATGTACTCTATAATACGTTTTCTTAAAAAAAAATCACAGGAAACAGACTTCATTAGACAAGGAAAGGTTCTATTACTTTTAAGGAGTGCTTTACCTGGAGCTGATATTTTGCTGCTAGTTTCTGATACAGAGGAGAACCGGGGTTATTCAAGTCTGGTGTATATTCCTGGTTGCTGAGAGTGACACTGAACTCCACCGTTTGCTCCACAGGCAGCTTGGAAATGATGTTTGGAACTTCTGGCTTTAGCTCCCAAGAGAACAAAAGAGGAAATCAGTTTGCAACCCACTTCAAAAACCCCAGAATACATTTTACACTAATCTGAAACGCATCCTCTGGGTGTCTTAAGTTATGATGCCTGCAATCAAAGGAGGTCTTAGCTTGAGGAATTCTCAGGTTCAGAAGGGAGGGAAGGTGGGAGAAAAGGAGGGAAGCAAATACTATATTTTTAAAAAATCAAGGAATCAAGGAAATAAAACAGGAAACACTGAAAAGGGGCATAACTTGGTCATCACATCTTAAGAAGAAGTTTTTCATGCCAATTGTATTGTTGCTCTTTTCACTGTAGTTACTTTGTTTGTAAATTCTTTGTGTGTACTTCCTTACACTTTGTGATTATGTTGTATTGCACCACCTTAAGAGAACAGCAATTAAAGTCCCAGATATCTACAAAGCACTAGGATATAGATAGCAATAGCAATAGCACTTCGACTTATATACCACTTTATAGTGTTTTACAGCCCTCTCAAAGCAGTTTACAGAGTCAGCTTTTTGCCGCCAACAATTTGGGTCCTCATTTTACCGACCTTGGGAGGATGGGAGGCTGAGTCAACCTTGAGCCTGATGGGATTCAATTTGTCAAATTGCAGTAGGAACAGCATGCAGTACTGCACTCTAACCACTGTACCACTGAGGCTTCGATAGTTAGATAGTTACTTTAGGATTTTGGAGGTTACCTCTTATGATGTACATGGTTTTATTACACACTGTAGCTATAGCATTTACACTTATATGCAGCCCCATAGAACTTTATAGCATTCTCTGAGCAGTTTACTATGTCAGCCTATTGCTCCCAACAACCTGGGTCTTCATTTTACTGACCTCAGAAGGATGGAAGGCTAAGTCAACCTTGAGCCCCATCAGGATTGAACTCCAGGCTGTGGGCAGAGTTTGCCCCACAGTCCTGCACTTTAACCACTGCCTCACCAGGGTCATGAACTTGTTTGTTTATTTATGAAACTATATACGGCTGCAACCCAAGTCTAGGAAATTGATACTACATATAGTAAAATAGAATAATAACAGAACTAGTAAAAAGCCTGGTTGTAGGCTGTTCGGTAAAACAAAGCAAGGCATACACTTAAAAGAAAACTGGGAAGCCTGTAATTGTGCAGCCTGTCTGGCAAGGACAAAGAATGCTTATTCACGGAGAATATGCAAGTGTAAATCTTGTATCAATTTAGGTAACAGGAATAAAGAGCTAGATATCCTGCATACCACTGCTAGAATTTAGGAATAGGGACGGTCTGGAGCAAATAGAATGTGTGTTAGATAACTCCGAGAGCATTCATTGGCCAATGCTTAGGAATATGGATGGCTAGAAACCAATAGAACAAGATCAGTACTAAAATGTTAGATCAGTACTAAAATGTTTATTAGATACCTTTTCTTATATATCCCACCTTAGCCTGCCTTCTGCCTTAGTGAAATTGTATAAAGCTTTCCCAATTCTATTGCTTGAGGTTCCTAGCATTTTCTGGGCAGACCCCCCTTTCTTGGAGCACTTCAATAAAAGGAAACAAAACCTGCATCTTGTGTTCCTCATTGGCTTTGGCCCCCCCAGGCTCAGACCCAAATTGGGGACAACACATACACAATTGATAATGTTCCTGATATTATTCCCATCAGTCCAAGTTCCTACCTATTCTCTTTCTACCCATGCCTTCCTGTGCTTTATGTTTATTTTTATTAGCTGGTGTAAAAACCGTCCTTTTACCCAGGGTTTAAAAGTAAAGCCCATGTAAATGGATTCAGGGGAGTATGATAATAAGGCTGTCTCTACCATTGGCTCTGTTGCCTCACTCCAAAGTGGGAAAACACAGGCAGCAGTTTTTGCCTTCTCCGGCTACTTGCTATCAGTTGGTACTTCTGTCCTTCACCACTTTCTTATTATAGCAGAAAGGGCGAAAGAAGGAAAATACCTTCCATTACTGCTAATTGATACATAAAATCCACTCCCAGGGAGACTTAAACACAAGAAAGGCCTCCAGCAAAACCCTGTTTAACATTAAGGGGATTGAAGTAATTCACTTATTGGAGTTAGAATGGATTATTCAAACATGGGTTCAAGTTTCATATCATGGGGATCTCTGGAGCTTGTATTATCAGAGGTGCTAGTTACAATATGGCTCCAAGCATGTGATACCTACTTGGAATAAATCTCTAAAGAGGCTCAGTAGAGAGAGCAATATAAAAGCCAAATATGATAATCAAGGGAGTAGCTTTTGCTTTACAGGCAGCCAGGGGAGATAAGGGAGGCTTAGACAAATACCATAGGGTAGGAAATAAAAAAAACCCAGAGACGAAAGACCATGGAAATGGTTGATTTATAGGAGAAGTAGATTTGAGATCTTGCATTTCTACTATGCAGAGAAGAAGTGAATTATATAATAAGGATGAACAAAAAATGCTGCATTTGGACACTGGTGCAGTCCTCCATTGTCTGTTTCTGTTTCTCATGCATAGGCAAGCAACATCATTCACAATTAGCTGAGAGGAAAGACCCTAATCAATATGTACATTTTAAGTGAAGGGAAGAGAGGAAAAATAAGTACTGGTGATGAAACTAGCTCAGGGATCTCCAAACTTGGTAATTTTAAGACTTGACGACTTCAATTCCCAGAATTCCTCAGCCAGCTGCTGGCTGAGGAATTCTGGGAATTGAAGCCCTCAAGTCTTAAAACAACCAAGTTTGGAGATCCCTGAGCTAGCTTCATCACCCTGTGAATTCCTGGGTTGGGAAAACGAAGTGTGACTACTTTAGTAGAGAGAATGCTATTGACTCCTCACCTTTCCTGGTGTTTTGGTGTCATTGACAATCTCATTCACAAGGGTATCTGTAGAGATCATTGGGAAGCAGAAATTAAAAAAGGATTAAGGAAATCTACCAATGGGTGGCTTCCTACTCAGTATTATGAGAATTCAGAGCAAAAAGAAAACATCTGAGTTGTTTCCTTTTTAAAATAAGTTACAAACCAAAAAATAAATCTAGTACCTATATTTGTGAAAAAGCTGTAATCTTATGCACACACTCAGAACCCACTGAAATTAATGAGACATCACTACATAAATGTGCCTAGGATTAAATGTTAAGAGCTAAAGTGTATATGGTCCCTTTCATGTAATTAAGTTTTTTTTTTAATGGATATGTTCAAGGAAGGTGTGAAATTCCTGACTTAGTACTGGAAAGTTTTACTGAACTCTGGAAATTGCAGTTCCCCATATTCTAGAACAGGGGTGTCAAACTCAAGGCCTGCAGGCTGGATGCAGACTGTGGGGTGCTTAAATCTGGCCCATGGGGCGGGCCTTAAAATTTCAAAGGACCGGCCCACAGTGCCTCTGCCTGCCAAAATGGGCCATGGGGGGTGGGGGGGGGCTGCGTGTATCTCCCCCACAGCCCATTTTGGGCCTCCCCGGTCTACAGCAGCACTCTGCTGGCCAAAAATGTGCCACGTTGAGGTATCATGAGGCCTCCACATGGCCTGTTTTCAACTGGGAGAGTGCTGCTGGAGGCCAGGGAGGCTGAAAATAGGCCATGTGGGGGCTTCCGTGTCTCATTTTGGTCCTCAAAGTGCTGCAGGAGGCTGTCCAGGCTGAAAATGGGGCACGGAGGGGTGGATATGGCCCCCCTGCACCCTGTTTTGGCTAGCAAGATGCTGCATGAGGCGTCCATCCCATTTGCCCCCCTTGCTCCCCCCCGTTGGCCCACAGACGAGAACTACAATGCCGATCTGGTCCTCAAGAAATGCAGTTTGACACCCCTGTTCTAGACAAAGATGAGCAAGGTGATACATTTTCTGTGGGTATGAGAAAGAATATTTAATCAACCCATTCAGCTATTCAGTTTTATACTAACTAATCAAAACAAACCTCTATTAATTTGTTATTTAATTCTATGCAAAAGGATTTCTTTGTTGAAAATTTATTTTTGATAGCTTTGCAAGGTTTTCTTCATCAAGGAAGCATGATAAATATCACACAGTTAAAATGCTGCAGTTTAAGCGTTAAAATATTTCTCAAACCAAGTTTACAATAAAAAGCCATTCCATTCCATTTATTATATTTCTCATGCACTATTTATCGCATTTCCATACTCTGAATTACATGCTCAAACAATAAAAGGTTTGAACTATGTAATGGAAACTGGTAGACCCATATAGTAGGCATGCTTAGTTTTACCTGTAATAACAGAAGACGGTTCTTCGGGTTTTTTGCCACTGGATTTTTCTGGAGAAATGTCCTCTTTTCTAGGGGAAAAAGAGCAATAAGCAAAAGTATAAATTAGACTATGAAAATGAGAGAGGCAGGGATTCATTTCTTTCCATTAATGCCACATTTTGTCTAAAGACATACTTTCACAAATTAAAAATAAAGAATCACAGCACACTGTATTTTCTATAATTTAGCTCTCCAGTATGCTCATGGTGCTCCTGATAAATGAAACCTGCCAAGAAAATACTGTCTGGCATAAATCCTTATGGCAACTCTCATCAGACGAGCAGCAAATATTAATAAAAAATGTATTTATCATTATCAATAAAGAAAATTAAGCTCAGACAGTGCATCTTTAGTGAAAACTGAGTAAGGAGACCTTTCCCAAAGAAGAAACTATATACCTCAATTATTTGGGCAGCAGCTATTTGTTTCTATTAATCATATGATATCCACTGATTTATATTGCCTAATTAGTACTAGGAGGAATGATGGCTCAGTAGTTTAAAGACAGGAATGCTGACAGGCCAGGTTTGAGACTCGGGCACTGCAGGACGGGGTGAGCTCCCGTTACTTGCACCAGCTCCTTTCCACCACTTATTTGGGAATACAATATTACACAAGAAGAAACTTTTTTACTTAAAAATACCGGAACACTTGATCCAGTTTACAAAAACCCAGAAGACTTCAAGGAAGCAGGGAAAAGACACAGAACAATCTAACTCTCTGCTACCATCCAATAAGCTTCAGGATATTTGTAGCCCACATCCGGTAGAGCTCCTTAGTTTGCATAAGGAAACCACTTTGTTAAAAAATGCACAAGTATGAATATATAATATATAGATTGCCTCAGAGTAAGTATTGCAATTGGACATCTTGAAAATGAAGACAAAACCAGAATGTTTTAGCACTTAATATGCTATTTAAATAAATTGTATGTCAAAAATGGATATGAAATCAGAAGATGATAATTAAAAAACAATGACACCTTTAAGTTTACATTGTTCAGTTATTTTGCATCATGATTAGTTAGAAAGCAAAACCACTTTGGATTATGAAAGTGATTCAGTTTCCACTAGTAAACTGCAGCCTTGGGTACCCATACTGAGTAGACATATCAATCTAGATCAGTGATGTCAAATTTGATTTCATTGAGTGTTTCATTGAGCCGCATCAGTGTTGTGTTTGACCTCGGGGGAGGGGGCAGGGAATGTGGCCAGAATGGCCATGACCAGAATGGCCATGACGACCTCAACATCACTCATGTTGGGGGCACCTGTGGTGGCCAACTGCTAAAGCAGAACTTCCCTCAGACCCTCCCTCACTATCATTATAATCTTCCCTTCTTCCTTCCTTCCTTCCTTCCTTCCTTCCTTCCTTCCTTCCTTCCTT